ATTGAAAAATAAAAATTACCTTCTTTTCCTCAAAAAATGTCCAAACTGGGCTATATTTTCGTGCATGAAAAATGTCACTCGGGGTATGTGTGTTGAAACGATTTTGACCACGGCTATTTCGTGTGTCATGCGGGTAAATTCCAATACTTCCAAGACATCTAGAGATGCATTACTGAGAGGAGAGACTTTTTGAACAGGCCAGATTCAGCCGCTGCTACGAACTACTAGTCATGTTTAGCCTTTCTGTGACCGTTCGCCCGGTACCGTAATCTAAGAGCCGGACGCTTGAGTGTACGGTACTGGGCGAGACTCGGAAACCTACTGAGTCAAAATGTTCAATAACACTCACTTTCCTATCCCAACATCTTCGTAGATATTATCCGGACAATATTCCTCATTATTATAGAGGAGATCATTGAATATTTTCAAAGCTGCCTTCGAAAGCACGTAACCAGCTCCACCGGCATTGTATCCATGTTCCTGAAAAGCAAAAACCATAATAAAAACAGGCATGACCCTTGAATCAAGAAAAAAATGGGTTACCCACCAGGTAAGGTTTGAGTACATAGCCAAGGTAGTAAGGTTTATTTGGATCAAGAGTTGATAAGTACTCTTTGAGATGTTCCACTATAACGTAAGTATCGTCATCAGCCTGGAAACAATTTCTGTAAGCCACATACCGCACCGGGTCCAAAAAAACTGACCTTTAGGTACCAGTCAAAATTTTTGGAAACGAAGTGGTAAATATAGTAGAAGGCATAACGGCTTTTATAGAAAAGATTATAGTAAGAATCGGGTATGCCGGCGAATACTGTAGAATACGGTATGTCATCGGAGGGAAAGAAGTCCCCGGTGAATAATTCTCCATGGTCACAACGAGACAGCCAAGTTTCATTGATGGCTAGGGCCTAGAAAAATTTTTTCTCAAATTTAAAGGTTGCCGTTTAAGCACTTCTTACTTACCCGTGTGTCATGGTAGATTTTTGCCGTTTGTACCCAACAAAATAGTTGACCAGATTTGGGTAACCGTCGTGCTGCTGATGAAGTAT